GGGAGTCACCTGGGTGAGGCAAACAGTATGAGCCAGATTGCTGGAGTCCCGAATATGGCGGCTGCCTGCCAACCTCATGGGGCAAGGGCTCACCAAAGGAACAAGGCCTCCCACAGCACGTCTGTCCAGGAGAAAACTACCCCTCCATCTCTCACCCCAATGCCAAACAACTCAGTTCTTCCCTCTATGTCTCTGGTGCCTTTCAAGCTGCCTCACCCATGCTGGAGCCTGGAGGGAGCGAGTCCCAGTAAGTCTGTGTGCGGGCCCTTTAAGAGGAATTTCTGGGGCTTCAGAAGCCTCAGTTCCCACTGGTTTTTACAGCCAGAAGTGATGGGGATTCTCTTCCTGGCACTGGAACCCTGAGCTGGGGAGCCTGGTGTGGGACAGGGACCCCTCACTCGCCAGGGAAGACCTTCACAGCTGAGGTGTCCTCCTGATTTTATATATCACAGGTGGGTGTGGGACCAACCCATCTGCACCTCCACCCCTCCTACCTGTCTCCATGTGGCTGCTTATTTAATTTTGTAGCTGTAGGATTTCCACTCAGCTTGATTTCAGGCAGTTCTGAAGGATACTTGTTCTGTCATTTAGTTGTAATTTTGATGTGGTTGTGGGAGGAGGTGATAGCGCATTTACTTACATGACATTTTGACCAGAAGTCCTCAGGTTTTTGGATGCCTTTTATTTTTTCTTCTTGTCTGATTGCTGAGGCTAAGACTTCTATAGTATGTTGAATAAGAATGGTGAAAGTGGACATCCCTGTCTTGTTCTTATTCTTAAGGGAAATGCTTTTAGTTTTTGCCCATTGAGAATCAAAGGAAAAAATTAATAAATGAAACTACATCGAACTGAAAAGCTTCTGCACAGCAAAAGAAGCAAACATCAAAATGGAAAGGGAGCACACTGTATGAAAGAACATAATTGCCAATGATACATCAGATAAAAGGTTAATTTCCAAAATATATAGAGTGCTCATACAACTCAACAAAAGAAAGACAAAGAACCCAATTAAAAAATGGGCAGAGGACTTAAATAGAAACCTCTCCAAACAGGACATACAAATGGCCAAGACATATGAAAAAATGTTCAATGCCACTAATCATTAGAGAGATGTAAATTAAAACAACAATGAGGTATCACCTCACACCTGTCAGAATGACCGCCATCACCAAATCATCAAACAACAAGTGCTGGCGAGGGTGTGGAGAAAAGGGGACCCTAGCACACTGCTGGTGGGAATGCAGACTGGTGCAGCCACTAAAGAAAACATTATGGTGTTTCCTTAAAAAAATTAAAAATTGATCTGCCCTTTGACCCAGTGAGCTTCTAGGAATATATCTTAAGAAGCTCGAAACACAAATTAGAAAGAATATATGCACCCCTATATTTACAGTAGCACTTTTCACAATAGCTAAGATCTGAAAATAGCCCAAGTGTCCATCAGTAGATGAGTGGATGAAAAAACTGTGGTACATGAACACAATGGAGTACTATGCAGCTGTAAGAAAGAAAGATCTCTTATCCTTTGAGATGACATGGAGGGACCTGGAGAATATTATGCTAAGTGAAATAAACCAATCAGAGAAAAACAAATATCACATGATCTCACTTATTTGTGGAATATAATGAACAAAATAAGCTGATGAACCAAGTAGACCCAGAGACTTGGAAGCAGGGATCAGACTGACAAACCTCAGAGAAAGGGGGAGGGGAGGAAGAGATAAACCAAAGAACTAATATGCATATATGCATAACCAATGGACATAGAAACAATACTATGAAGGGGGAGTGGAAGGGGGCAGGAGTGGGTAGGAGGGTGTCAGTGGGGAAACATCTGTAACAAAAATAAATTAATTAATTTTTAAAAACCAGATTGCAAAAATGTAAAAAAAAGAAAAATTTAAGAGGAGGAAAGGCTTTCAAGCTTATTATATAAGGCCACCATTTCCCTGATTCCAAAATTAGACAAAGACATTACAAAATGAAACAAACTTATAGGCCAATATCCCTGATGAACACAGATGCAAAAATCCTAAACAAAATATTAGCAAATTGGCCCTGGCCGGTTTGGCTCAGCGGTTAGAGCGTCGGCCTGCGGTCTGGAGAGACCCGGGTTCGGTTCCCGCTAAGGGCACGTACTTCGGTTGCAGTTTGTCCCCGGCCCTGGTTGGTTGTGCGGGTGGCAGCCACTCGATGTGTTCCTTTCACGTCGATATTTCTCTCTCTCTCTCTGTTCCTCTCTCTCCCTCCCTCTCTACCTGAACAAAAAAATGGAAAAATGTCCTCCGGTGAGGATAAAAAAAAAAAAAGAAAAAAAAAAAAAAAATATTAGCAAATTGGATATAGCAATAAGTTAAAAAGATCATATACCATGATCAAGTGGGATGTATTCTGGGCATGCAAGGTTGGTATAATATTTTCAAATCAATAAATGTGCAACACCACATAAACAAAATGAAGGATAAAAACCACATGATCATATCAACAGATGCAGAAAAAGCATTTGATAAAATTTAGCACTGATTTATGATAAAAACTCCCAGCAAAGCGCGAATAGAGGGAACATACCGCAACATAATAAAGGCCATGTATGACAAACCCACAGCCAACATCATACTCAATGGGCAAAAACTACAAGGATTTCTCTTAAGGTCAGGAACAAGGCAGGGATGTCTACTTTCACCATTCTTATTTAACATAGTACTGGAAGTCCTAGTCACAGCAATCAGACAAGAAGAAGAAATAAAAGGGATCCAAATTGGAAAGGAAGAAGTAAAACTGTCATTATTTGCAGATGACATGATACTGTATATAAAGAACCCTAAAGATTTTACACACACACACACACACACACACACACACACACAAAACTACTGGAACTGATAAGTGAATTAAGAAAATAGCAGGATATAACATAAACATTCAGAAATCTATTGCATTTTATGCACCTATAGTGAACTACCAGAAAGAGAAACTAAGAAAACAATCCCACTCACAATTACATCAAAAAATAAAACAAGCTAGAAATAAATTTAACCAAGGAGGTAAAGGACCTGTATTCAAAATCCCTATCAAAATACCAATGGCATTTTTCACAGAAGCAGAACAAATAATCCTAAAATTTATATGGCACACACACAAAACAAAAACAAACAAACAAACAAACAAAAAACAACCAAATAGCCACAGCAATCTTGAGAAAGAAGAGCAAAATTGGAAGTATTACACTATCTGATATCAAACTATACTACAAAGCCATAGTAATCAAAACAGCATGGTATTGGCATGAAAACAGACACATAGATCAATGAGACTGGATAGAGAGCCCAGAAATAAACCCACGCCTATGTGGCCAATTAATATATGACAATGGAGGCAAGAATATACAATGGGATAAACAGAGTCTATTCAATAAATGGTGTTGAGAAAATTGGGCAGATAGATTAAAAAAAAAAACTAGACCACCTTCTTACATCATTTACAGAATTAAAGTAAAAATAGATGAAATCTTTAAACATAAGACCTGAAACCACAAAATTGCACTTTCAGAGGCTGACCTGACCATGAAGTGGCGTCTGTAAGCCTCTGCCTCACCTTCCAGAGGGTGAGAATCTTGGAGATCAGCTGGCCGAGCATCACGGTTCTCAGAAGAGGCCAAGACCAGAGAGCCCTGCGGCTGCCCACGGCAGGTCTCTGACTGGCCACGTTCCCATCCTCACTGGGTTGCACATTTACTAAACAACGGTGGGTTTCTGTTTATTTCGACAGGTGGGGGGTTCTTGGAGTCCAACATGTGGCTGGCGTGGGGCCCTCCTCACTCCCCTTTAAGCTTAGCTTTTCTGCCCCACAGACCTTGCTTAACAACGTTTGAAGAGGGCTGTTCTCTCTCCCCAGGGCGACCCTGGCCCTGCGGCCCCCATGAAGACCCTGCTTCCCGGCCGTCATGTTTTCCTTCGCTGTGACTCGCCCGAGGTCTGGTTCCCTACTGGCTCACTTGTTGCCTTGGGCTGGTTGCCTGCGGTAGTTTCTAGTGATACTCTGATGCTGCCAGGAGGTGAGGGGAAGGGCCCCGAACGGGCTTGGTCACTGGACAGGCAGACTTGGTGATGGAGGGGCCTTCTTTCTCCCTGGGGGAGTTGTGGGTCAGCAGAAGCTGCTGACAACTTTTTCCAGAGTGGAGTAACCCAGAGACAGCGCCCGCAGCCTGTCACCTCTCTTGTGGTTCCTGTTTTGGTCCCTAAAGGACATTCTCAGCCGCGTCTCGCTGGGAATACAGCGACATCCATGACACTCTTCGATCTGTGTGCTCAGAATTGTTTTAGAAAGAACGTCTCGGAAGAGGGCTGGGAGGAAGGAAGAGAGGGTCTTAAAAAATATCCCTTTCAAAATATTTGCTCTCTTCTAAGTATTGAAAAGGCACACTATAACCCTCTCTTTCCCCAAGTGATCTCATAGCTATTTATTGAGGGGGGGTGGGGGGAGGACAGGGGAGGGGGATACCAAATGTTTATTTACTTTTCTAAAGGAGCGTCTTTGCTGCGATGATTCCTGGCACTATCATTTTCCTCTGGCTACAGGGGCGCGGAGACAGAGCGACACCCCAGAGACATGCCTGGGGTCAGAACAATCCCCCCGTCCTGAAGGGGGCTTGCAACATTCTTTATCCCCCTGCAAACGTCCTTGAGCTCTGGAGACGGAAGCGAGAGCGTTTTCACTCCTCATGCAAAACAACCATCTAAACATAATAGATGACATCAGCTTGGGCTTTTCAATTCCTGGATGGCAGCGGCTGCGGATCCCGCCGTCCTCCTGGGTTGCATAAACTGAAACAAGACGGCCTGGCAGGGGCCGAGCTGCTGCCCCGAGGAAACCGGTGACGGAGGCCCGCGGGCCACCGCGGTATAAAACGCACACACGTGGAGGCTGTGCCGCCACTTGGGACGGCTGGCTGCTGCCACCAGCAGAGACCACCCGGAGGAGCCGCGCCCCAGCCGGGAAGCATGCGGACCAGCCTGCTGCTGCTGGCCGCCCTCCTGGCCCCTGCGCACGCGGGGCCGGCCTGGAGCGCCAAGTACGCGGTGGACTGCCCCCAGCGCTGTGACAGCCGGCGGTGCGCGGGCGGCCTGAGCTGCCGGCGGAGGGTGATGGACGACTGTGGGTGCTGCTGGGTGTGCGCCGCCGAGCGCGGAGCCACCTGCTACCGCACCGTCGCGGGCGTGGACGGCATGAAGTGCGGCCCGGGGCTGCGGTGTCAGTTTTACAGGGAGGAGGATGAGTTTGGTGACGAGTTTGGTATCTGCAAAGGTAAAGAGTGACGCTCGCCTCTCCCCGCCCAGGGCACACGGAGGGTCTGCGCTAGCGTGGGCGGCGAGGCCCCGTCCCCCCTGTGAGAGAGGGCTGTGCAGGTGGGGTAGGGACCCGGCAGGTGTTGTCAGAGGGACAGAGGGTCACTCTGCAAACAGCAGCCCAGCCCGGTGGGCGAGGAAGCACAGCGTTTCACTCGTTCTATTTGGGAGATTTTTTTGCAAAGTTACATTGGAAGATTGTGCTGCCTGTTCTGGAAAACTTTTGGAATTTGACAGGTAATCTGTGTGGGTGCCCGGGGCTCTCTTTTCTAAACACAGTGGCTTCGGAGGTTGGCACTAGGTCCCGTCGCAGGGCTGTCTAGCCCTGGCTTAGTGATTCTTTGATTTTGAAAGGATCCCCAGGATGGAGGGCATCTCTCAAGGTTAAATACTTTTTTTTAAAACATGATGCACTTTGAGAAACAGGTAGGCTTAAGTCATCTCATAAAACGACTCATGTTCTGGGAAGAGTGTACCCTGAAGTGTGAATCAACCCTCCTTCCACCTTATTAAGGTTTTTGGTCCCTAGGAAAATAGCAGAGGTGTAAAACAAGCACACATAACAGCAAAGAAAAAGAAAAATGGGATGTCTGTGAAGAATGAGGTCTTTCAGACTTAAAGAAAGCATGTATTAGGTTAAAATTACAGCTAAATAATGCTGTTAAGCATGTGTAGAATTGATTTCAAACTTACTGATTATAGTTTAAAACATTGAGAACCAGTTGAATGATCATTTTAAAGTACTCTATAGGGACACCTCATGCTGTCGTCATTGAGAGCTATTGCTAAGGTGTAACATCAGTTTATAATACGAGGAAGCTTTTAAAGTTATTAAAGGGACTGGGGGGTTTCTGAATGACTCTTATATTTAGGCACTTAATCCACTTGTATGCTTTTATGTCTGGGAATCATGCAGTGAGAACTAACTCATTAACTCTCCTACCTTGTAGACAAATACCTCACCAACCAGTCGCCTTTTAATGCGTAACACATACTACAGGTTAGGAAACACATGCTTGAACTTTTAGGAGAATTTTGGTTTTGTAGCTCAGTTTATTTTTGCTATAACTAGGAAAGGGCAGACTGTTGAGGAAACAGTTTCCCTGGTGAACATTCGCAAACGTGTCCTTCAGCCGTGTAGGGTCCGCACTCTCCGTCACTGACAGGGCGCGTCCGCCGGGGACACAGCACTTGGTCAGGATGCAAGTGGGAAGCGGTCAGCACAGCCACCCTCGGGGTCGGCCAGTCGGGCAGCGACTGCCTTTCCTCTTGGCACAGAGCGCCCTGTGCGAACCAGCAGGCGGGGGTAAGCACGTGGGCGGCGGCCCCCGGGTCCGAGCAGCCTGTATTCCCCGGCACCAGGTTGCTGGGAACAAGATCTGTTGGAGCCAGTGTGGGGACTGCTCTCCTTGGCTCCTTCAGACGGCCCCCATCGCGTGGGACGCCCCCTCTGCGGAGCCCGTGAGCCTGTGAGCGCCGCAGTCCCCGAGAGAGGCACTTCATTTTGCCTCCCAGGCTCCCGGCGCAGCCTTTTTAGGAGCACCCCTGTGGAAACTGGATGGTAGCTGCACATCAGGTGTCTTCTAAACATCCGCGTATTTGGCATCGTGCTGCCCAGACACGAATCAGTGAGCCAGGACATATTTACTGAACACCTGCTGCGTCTGCCCAGGGCATACAACAGAAGTATAAACGAGAATGTGGGTAACGTCTTAGTTTCCGGCGTCGCTGGAGACAGAGTCAAATCCCGACCCTGGGTGCTTCCCTTTGAGGGGCCTTTTCAGCATCTCCTTGAGGGACTGTCCTTCCCAGCAGAGGGCCCCCCAGTCTGACGGGCACTGGAAACAGCGTACCTACCTACATCTCTTTTGCAAATATGTTTCGTTTCTCTCTCTCTGTCGGTCTGTGGGGGGTAGATTGGCACAGACACAGATCCTCACAACTTGTTTCTCTGCCCACGTGTGACGGTCCATGTACAAGGATGTTCTCAGGCGAGAAAATGCATATTCTGCACCTAGTATGCTTGGCTCTGTTACATGCTGTTTGTCTCATCAAAACCACACACTTAATTCATGAATTGGTCCTCTTTTTCTCTGTTGTGCATGCTTCAGTCTGAGTGTGAAATCCCTGGCTCTCTGAGTGTTCAGGTTTGGTAGATGCTACATAAATTCTCAGCTGGATTGTTCATTTAGTGCAGCCCCCCCCCCCCCCCCCGGGCTTTTTTAGTGCCCCGGGGAGTTAGGTCAGCTGGTCTGCATTTCCACACAATCCGTCGACAGGGTTGGAGCAGACTGAGGGCTGATGTCCTGGTGGAGAGCCGGGTGTGGCCCTCTTGGCCCCTGGCTATTTGAAAGCGCTTTGCTATACACTGACAACAGTAAGCTGTCTGGGAACACAGTGGACTCGGAGAAGCACCCCATCTTTTACACGCTCAGGGGCTGATGCACGCATCTGTTCGACGGCCCACCTGCGCTGTCACAGAGGTGCCCATGAGAACCGCCCTGGCGTCCAGGCAGGATGAAGGCTGGCTCAAGGGTGTGGGTTACATGCAGCTGTGTTCCGCTGAACGTCAAGCAGGACTCAACAGTTCACTGGGGAAACACTGGTTAATTAAAATTATATAGGTTTCAAGTGTAATAATACAACACTTGAATGTTGTTCTATAATACAACATCTGTATAAGGTATTGTGTGTTCACCAACCACAGTCTAGTCTCCTTCCATCACCATTTATCCCCCCTTTACCCTCTTCTGCCTGGCACACCCCTTCGATCTGGTCGTCACCAGGCTGCTGTCTACGAGTTGCTGCTGCTGCTGTTGTTGCTTAATCCCTTCACCTGTTTCACCCAGTGCTGCAACCTGCACGCACAGCTGTCAGTGTGTTCTCTGTGTCTATGAGTCTGTTTCCATTTTGTTTGTTTATTTATTTTGTTCATTAAATTCCACATTTGTGACTTCAAGTTTCAACTTTCAAACTCTGTGGTTTTCTTTGGCGAACGGGGCTTTGTCTTATGGTCAAGATTCAGGAGGCTTGTTCGGCCCCGAGGCTGTGCTCACAGGGAGTGAGGGTGCGGCTGGTGCACAGAGCTTCTTCTCTGACCTGCCTTTGCCTTCAGACTGCCCCTACGGCACCTTCGGGACGGACTGCAAAGGGACCTGCAGCTGCCAGCTGGGCATCTGCGACAGGGTGACCGGCGAGTGCGTGACGTTCCCCTTGTTCCAGCACCCAGGAGCCAAGTCCGCCGGCGGAGCTGACCTGCGGGCAGGTAAGCCTTGAGTCCGGGCAAACTGCCGGTAGCCTCGTTTTCCCGTCGGATAATTGCAAAGGCTGACACGTGGGCTAAGGTGCTGATCTGGGTGACTTAGTTTCCTTTACTTTACCCGGGGGAAGTGGGTGCTGTTGAGTCAGGTTGCTGCTGCTGTTTTTACAAAAGATCTTATTAATAATTTTGAAGATTATATAATTTCTCATAAAATGTACCCAGTTTTTATGGAGGATAAATAAGGTCAATTACCCCCCCCCCAAAAAAACCCAAAACCTATACTGAAGAAAAAATAAAGCATGCAAAATTCTTTAAATTCTTCAGTGATCTGCTCCATATACGTGCTAGACAAAGACACTTCTCCCAACTTCACGTAGAAAAAGTGCTCCGAGGAATTTATTGGACGAGGTTTAAGAGCCAAGACAGAAAATATAAAACATTTTTTAACCAAATGGAAGCATTTAAATGGAATAATTCCAGGCATGTGTTTTTTATGGCCTTTGGAGAGGATGAGAGATTGTATCTATGACTGAAATTGGGGATTATCGCTGATCCTTTGGGTGAAATGGTAGCCATGCTTGCACAAGCTCGTTAGCCCGGGAGCATTTCTTACACAGGCTGTGTGAATGTGAGAACACAGAGCCTGGAAGATGGGGAACACACTCCTTCAGTTCCCTTGTTCAATAAGTGGCCAGCACAGAAAAGCTTCATTAAATTAAACATTGTTCATTTAAAACAACATGTAGCCACAGCAACTTCTTATATATAAATACTTGACAATCCAAATCCATTTTATTTAGGCTTTTTCCTGGTCCTTTGCAGTTCAAATTAATTAAGAATGGAAATATTTGGCAAATGTGTTCATCTCCAGCCCCACCTCCTCTTACACGCTGTGGGCACAGTTCTGTGCATCAAGATAAAGGGGAAATGCTCACCTAGTGGGTGAGCAACTGTGTGAATATTTGATCTGGAAAGCGAGGTCATTATTAACATTTTAAATACTCATGAATTGTCCCTCTAGTCCTTGAAAAGCAAAAGGAAGGAAGGTTGCATTTTTTTTTTTTATCCTCACCCGAGGACATTTTTCCATTTTTTGTTCAGATAGAGCGGGAGGGAGAGAGAGGAACAGAGAGAGAGAAACATCGATGTGAAGGGACACAACGAGTGGCTGCCACCTGCACGACCAACCAGGGCCGGGGACAAACTGCAACCGAGGTACGTGCCCTTAGCGGGAACTGAACCCTGGTCTCTGTGGACTGCAGGCTGACGCTCTAACCACTGAACAAACCGGCCAGGGCGGAAAGTTGCATTTTAAGACCTAAATTATTTTTTATTGAGGAGACCTTCACCTAACATAAAATTAACCATTTTAAAGTGACTAGTTAGGTGGCATCTAGTATAGTCTCAAGGCTGAACAGCCTCCACCTCTAAATAGTTCCAGAAGGTTTTCCTCAGCCCCAAGTAAAACCGCAGCTCCAGTAAGCAGTTGCCCCGACTCCTCACATCCCTCCTCACCCCACAGCCACCAAGCTGCGCCCCGAGACCAGATTCTGAAAGATTTGAGGCATTGACTGCGGGTTTCACACCCAGGGTACAGCTAAGGCTGAAACTGCTCACAAATTTCTTTTCTCCTATTTGTGGGCTTAAAACCAAGGCTGGAAAGAACTGGAGAAACAACTTTCTTCTCCTTCTCCACTCATTTAAGGTGGAACCTAAGCTTTTCCACCAAGAGAGAACTGAAGCCCTGGTGAACCTCTGCTGGTGTTCGGGGTGAGCGTGGGAGGCCCCTCCTTCTTTGGAGGGGCCCCGATGAGTCTCACCCCCATCCCCTCACCCGCCTCCCCCCAGGACCCTGTGCGGGCTCCTGCCCAGTCGCTTGCAGACTGCGGGTATCGATCGTGACCGCTGCAGGGACAGATGCCTTGGAAACAGATACTCTGCTGGAGGAAGTGACATCATAGGGCACACAAAAAAGATTTCTCTCCCCAAATTAGGTACCAAGATTCTTATTAGACGTTTATGAAAAAAGCCTGTTCTGACCCGAGGTGTGTCCTCGCGGTAGTAAGGGAGCGAGGAGAGGAGCTGCGGCGTGATCTCGAGCCCCTTAGGGGGCTCAGCCCCGCCCCGAGCGCGGACACCCCGGAGGCGGGCGGGGCGCGGACACCCGGGAGGCGGGCGGGGCGGACACCTCGGAGGCGGGTGGCGGAGGCGGGTGGCGCGCGGACAACCTGGAGGTGACACCCCGGAGGCGGGCGGGGCGCGGACACCCCGGAGGCGGGCGGGGCGCGGACACCCCGGAGGCGGGTGGGGCGGACACCCCGGAGGCGGGCGGCGCGCGGACACCCCGGAGGCGGGTGGGGCGCGGACACCCTGGAGGCGGGCGGGGCGGACACCCCGGAGGCGGGCGCAGCCGTTCAGCTGTGCGTCTCCACGCGGGACTCTGCGGGGTTCCCGCGCTGCGGTTCACAGGAAGGGTTTGGGGCCACGGTCCTGCCGGGCTCTCATCACCTCTGCACAGGCCTGTTTGGGCCCGGCCTTTATACATGGCTCCAGGTTCATCAGCACAGGGGCCCCCGGAGGTCGCTCCACACCTGATTGTCTTCTCTGACTTTGTACCTGTTAGTGTTGGCAGGCCAGCTTCCTGGCAGCCCCTCTCCGGTTGTTTCTCTCTCTCTAAGTCTCTCTCGCGAGCTTTCCAAGACAGGGAACTCACAAGCAACCGTTTTGGGGGAGGGGGAGGGAGAGGGGTGGTAAGGTGTGCATGCTCCAGGTGTTCACACACAGGGTCCCAGGTCGCCCTGGTCCTGCAGCATCCAGTCCACCGGCCGCTGCTGGAGCAGACCCCTGGCTCCTCCCGGGAAATGCGCACTGTAGGAAATTCTAATTATTACAAACTCTTTTTCTTACGGAGTGCAAGAACTCTCTCTATGAAAGTTTGCCCTATGGTCTGCCTTCTGAACCACACCAAGAACCTAAATGCCAGAGAGAGGGAACATCTCGCTTAGAGACCTGTGCTGACAGCATTTGCTCATCCTGTGTGTTCATTAAATGCCTATATGTTCCAGGCACTGGTGTAGCAGCCAACAGAACACAGTTTCTGCTTCCCGGGGCTGATATTCTAGGGGCGGAGTGAGATTATGCAGAAAAAAGGGGGGGGGGGGACATGCATGTACAAGATCATGTCTGGGGATGGCAGGCGTGTGAAGAGAAACGATTCAAGGGGGTGCTATCTGAACCCACTCAAGATCTCATTGTAAATCCATGTACACGGAAACAGGACGGACGGGACCTGGCTTTGGAGTTACAAGCAGCTGTACCTGATTCGCATTCCTCTGTTTCAGAGCACGGCGTGGGGTCTGGAGACGGCAATGCTGTGACCGGAGACCTCGGGAAAGAGAACGCGGCCCGGTCTCCCGTGAGGAAATGGTTAAATCCACGCTGACCTCGGTGGGCTTGCCAAGAGAAGACCATTTTAATGATCATCCAACACACAGCCAACATTTTAGGAATTGTTTAGATGATAGTACATGGACATGTAATTTTTAGAGACCAAGTATGATTCATGGTGGGTCAGGAAAAAAAAAAGCAGGCTACTAACAATCCATAAAATGCACATGACTGAACACTTAGATATTTGTTAAATATTTGAATGCATGTAGATGTGTTAAATAAGTCTTTATAGCAATGCAGAAGAACTCAAAATGCAATGTATGTAGGCAGGTCAGCCAAAGAGAAGGGCAAAGCTGAAGGCCACAGAGACTCCCCGGTTCCTTGACTCGCCTGTGCACTAACTCGGATCCCCGGGGGAGGAAGAGGTCAGAGGTCGGAGCCAGAGAAGGTGGGGGCGGGGCAGGCAGTATGACAGTTAGGTATCCCTTGTCCTGGTGTCAATAGAACTTAACTGTGCTGCTTTTTACTTTGGGAAAAATAAAAACAAACAATCCCTGAAGGCAGTGGTATGTGGGGAGCTTGTGGGAGTTGGACTAGCAGCCTCGGACCGAAGCGAGATTCAAAGCAGCACTTCCCGGGGGTCGTATCTGAAGGGTGGTTGTGGGCAGACCTGGGTTCCCAGAACGCCCCTCAGACTGACGGAGTTGGGAAGTATTTTGCCCATTTTCGGGAGGTGTGAAGGTAAATATTTATATATTTTTGTAAACACTCGTTAGTACAAGGCACCCTCCGTGCCTATATGTATCACTCTCTGGGGAAAACGAACATCACCTGGTTTGTTTCAAACGGCTAGAACGCAGGTGTGACTCTATCAGATTCTCAAAGATCCAAGGTGTGGAAACTTTGTTATTAATAATTATGGTAATAAATAGTATAGCAATAAAGCATAAGAGAAACCTATAAAATGCAGTCACTGGATTTATGAAATGTCAAAAATTGAGCAACAGAGAGAATTTATTTAACAGTAAGTGCAGTGACTTCAATGAGTTTCTAATGTAAAGGAGAAGATTGCGTTGGGGGAGGTTTGGGAAAGAGCCGAGCAGCAGGCATGTCAGCCTTCTGTTCCCCCTTTAACCGGGGTCGATGAGCCGGGTTCGAACCCTGGGGAGGACCTCAGCGTCAACAGCTCTGCTGTACGAGACTGTACTAGGAAATATTTGCAGAAGTATTTTATTTGGAATAAAGACTTATTTAAGAACTATTTCAATATTTACCTATATTTTATTCTCAAAGTTTGCCAACAGAGTTGTAGACGTGTGTGTCGAAGGGGTTTGAATGTAAACTGAATAAGCTGTTAGAATTTGTTTTGAAAGGACAAGTTTATGATTGTTCAATAATAATAATAAAAACAAAAGACAGCTGTCCCAAGTCCATTTATGATTTCGTTCAGTTGTTGAAAGTTATTTAAACGGTCTGTTCCATGAATAAGAACTCCTTTATTCATATTAAGGGGCAAGTTTGTCAACTGAATTTCCTGCTACAGAGAAGCATCTTGTGTCAAAATGTGAGACTAGAATATTTATTTCTTCGCCTTACACTTTTGGTCGACTTGTGCCTTATATCTTCCTAACAATTGTGTCCCAGTGTATCAACCCATACTACAGAGGCGAAAAAAGAAAACAAAAACAGATGTACACTTCTGTTGGCGTTTGAAAGTGGTTTTGCTTTGAAAGCAGACGGACCTTTCAGTGCCGGACACAGCAGACACGCGGCGTTGGGGCTTGAGACCAGCCTACCCTGGAAGAGCACGCGTTCACCCAGCCTGCTGGGGAAATGAGGACCACGTTCTAAGTGAATTGATACAGCACAGAAGAAATGTGTATCTGTATTAGGGAAAATATCCAGTGGGCCTGACTTACTCTTTTTCTTTTTTAAAGAAATGATGTAAAATGAAATGTTACTACTAATAGGAATAGAAAGCAATAAAATCTTTGCTTTCACCCATGTGCAATGAAGCTCTCAGGGAGTGAGGTTACTTAAAAATCTGCTGCCTTGGCCAGAAGCCTGGGCCACCGTGCAAATGCCCCTGGGGTGGTGTGGACAGTGGAACACGAGCTAGACGAGGAGGTACTTACTCTGTTCCCAGCGCTGCAGCAGCACCTGTGACTGGGAGCCATGGAGTCAAACCAAGTGGGCTCATCTTCTCCCAGTGGCCAGTGCGTTTCCAGCTGCCAGCTTCAGGCCAAGGGGGCTTCTGTGCCCTTTGCCCCAAGTGCTCGCACCTGTCTGTCCCGAAGGGTTCTGCAGTCTTCCTGCTCTTCACAGCAGTGGTCTCTAAAATGTTTGCATTCTGCACACTTTTTGATTGCAACATTTTTGAGCATGCAGTTTTAAACTATATACATAGCATAGCTTTAATACGCTATGTTCTTTGTACAACACTCGAACTAGAAACTTTTAAAGGGATAAGAAATAAGTATAAATAGTAGTTCTGAGATTCTCTTTCTGAACCCTAATGGACCATTCTGGGAAACAGCAGAAAAGCAAATGAAAATGTCAAGGTCAGTGGTCTCCAGGGAGGCCCAACCTCATCTGATACTGAAGAGAAGCAAGCTGGCATGTATTCCATATAATAAATACTTCTGGAATGGATAGAGGGGTAGATAGGTGGGTAGAGGAGGGATGAGAAGAGGGATGGATGAAATGGGATGGAAGGGTGGGTGGATGGATGGATGGATGGATGGGATGGAAGGGTGGATAGATGGATGAATGGATGGATGGGTGGGTGGATGGATGGGAAGAGGGATGAATAGATGAATGGATGGAAGAGGGATGGATGGGATGGATGGATGGATGGATGGATGGGAAGAGGGATGGATGGATGGATGGATGGATGGATGGATGGATGGAAGAGGGATGAATGGGATGGGATGGAAGGGTGGATAGATGGATGGATGGATGGATGGATGGATGGATGGATGGATGGAAAGAGGGATGGATGGATGGATGGATGGATGGATGGATGGAAGAGGGATGAATGGGATGGGATGGAAGGGTGGATAGATGGATGGATGGATGGATGGATGGATGGATGGATGGATGGGAAGAGGGATGGATGGATGGATGGATGGATGGATGGATGGAAGAGGGATGAATGGGATGGGATGGAAGGGTGGATAGACAGATGGACGGATGGATGGATGGAAGAATGGATGGAAGAGGGATAACTAGATGGATGGATGAAACAAATGACAGGCCTTCTGTCTCTAGCAGAAGAGTAGCCACTAAGAGAGCTTTCATCCGCCAGCTCCCCGTCTCCCTGATGGCCGTTTGTCCTGCCTATTGGGATAGGAGGTGACTGAAAAACCGGCGAGCATAGGTAGAGTTAGTAGTGCTGTCCAGAGCAGCAGAGAAAGGGATGCTTCTCCCTCAGGCCCTGGGGACATCACCAGTGGTATCAGAGTGATTACGGTAATTTCCGTGATAGGCAGATTGGGTTGTCGTGTGTGTGTGTGTGTGTGTGTGTGTGTGAGAGAGAGAGAGAGAGAGAGCAGTTTGGGAGGACTGTTGCTTCCATCTTGCATTTTATTCCTTCCCTATACCCTGAGTTCCCTAGGGGTGAAGGACCCTCAGTGCGCCTACATAAAGATGTAGTCCATCAGCACATGGATATTTAGGAGAGAACTCATTATTGCTGATCACCCAGCCACTCATGCAGGTCCTTCAGCAGAGGCCTGGCTGTAAGGGAGGGCATGTTATAGAACAGTGGTCTCAGAGCTTGGTGAACATCTGAGTCACCTGGGCGCCTTGCTGGAACACACCTTGTGATTCGGTGATTCTCCATCGCAACAGGTTCCCAGGTGAGGCAGGTGCTGCTGGTCCAGGGGCCACACTGGGAGAAGCACAGATCTAGGGAACCCCAGATTTGCCTAGAAGGGAGGTAAACTGAGGGGTGATGAAACCAAGCATTGCTGACCTTATGAAAGAACGCACTGCAACATTTCTCAACCTGCGGTTCATTCCATGTTGTTGTTGTTGGAAGAAACTATCTACGCAGCTAATGCAGCTAAATGTCAGGGAAACTTGAAGCTAAACTGTGAGGCCTTTGGGGACAAGGAGAAGAAGACCATCAGAGGAGGATGGAGGGGGAGACCCAGAGCCTCTGAGAGTACTTGAGGAGCCTGTGGTCTCATAGAAAGAGAGACTTTCAAGAAGAGTGACCAGGGGCGCCATGTGTATGGGGAGAAATACACACATACAAAAATGGTTGCAACGTTTCACAGTACTTAGAAATTGTAAGTAATCCAAAAAAACGGTTGATAAGGTATTGGTTAAAGAAATGACAAGGTAGCCAAGAGCTGACTATGATTTGGGCCCTGAAATGGATGAGGTGTGTGTAGAGTGACTGGTGTAGACCGTGCTCCCCCTGCTCAGAGGGTGGCGCTGTGCCGGAAGCCGTCGGGGGTTGTGGCTGCCACGGAGCGCACCTGGACTTTCTCACCCACACCAAGTAAGGTACAGACGCCTCCATCTTCACGACTCCCTTCCACCCAGTTTGAGAGCAGCTGCCTTTTAAAGTGACACCTCTGCTGAGTTTCCCCTCGAACATTCACTTTAGTGTCCCCAGAAACAGCAACCCTCTTTTTGCATTGCTAGGCTCAGTCTGCACGATGTTTAAGTGAGGAGACACAGTGCAGCTGACTCTTGGTATGTTTTGCCGCAAGTGGTTGAAATGCAGGTGTGCAGGTGATCTCAGGGAGCCTGCCTGCAGCCTTCAGGGTGCAAGGGGTGCAAACAGTCACGTTGTCCAGACAACGGAGGTGCAGCGCTGTCGGGGAGACGCTCAGTGCGGGCGCCCTGGGTGTTCCCACTGCATTGTCCGCTTTAGAAGCTACGGCGCCACCTGGGCGATCGTATTTTGTGTGTGTGTGGGGAAACATATCTATATCTATATCTATATATCTATATCTATATCTATATCTATATCTATGTCTATGTCTATGTCTATGTCTATGTCTATGTCTATATCATCTATATCTATATCTATATCTA